CACCGCCGCACGTGACCCGCCCCCGTCGCGGCTTCCGCTGAGCTGACTGTTCCGGAGCACAAACAATTTTTGCTCTGACGCGGGGTCTCTCGGGGGCCCTGGCGTCCTCTACTCCCTGCTCCCCACCCCACCCCCTACCTTCCGGGTAGGAGAACTCAAAACAACTCGCTGACCTTCGGGCCGACCAGCTCCGTCTTCCACTGACTCCGGCATTCCGTTCAAACCCAGCAGCCGCGGCTTCTAAGATTTCACTCCGCGCTGGGCTTGGGGGGAGGGGGCGAGTTCTCCGGGAGGGGGTGTCTCAGATCGAAAGAGCCACTTCACGCTCTTTCCCCTCCTCCGAGGTGAGTTTTTAGACTCTCTGGAGGCCTTGGGGAAACGCGAGCAGCCGCGTGCAAAGGAGCCCCCCCCGCCCCGCCTTCTCCCCGCACATGCAGCCTTGTCTAGTGTGACCCGATTTCCAGGGTCAGCAGCAGAGGGCCTGGCCAGCTTCGGAAATACCACCAAGCGGTGGACTGTGGCACCAGGCAGAACTGGGGTGGGAGGACTGTGCTAAATAATGGTAGCTCCCACTCCCATGGTCTGTGCTAAGTTCTTCACAAGCCCTCAAACTTTACAGAGTGAGAAACTGAGGCATAGGGAAAGGTCAATCGTGTAAAACTGGGTAAAGCTCAGTTACTCAGCTAGGTAAGTGACTTAGGATTTGAACCCAAGTCTCTTGAGTTCAGGGTGGCTAAACATGCTGTAAGTATGTTACAGTGCATACCTTGGTATCAATAGTACAAACCTGTCTACAAAACCCAGTGTTTGCTTGAGAGCTGTATATTTGGTGTGTAACATTGTGGCTGGCATATAGTAGGCACTCAATAAATATTTGTGGAATGAATGGGTGTCAGAATAAATGATTGACAGAATCATTGATGACAAGTGATGAGAGAAAACAGCCCGAACCCTTGTTCTTCCTAAGAAGAATAAAAACCTTTAGCTCTTTTTTGAGTGTTTGCAGGTAACAGGAAACTCTTATTCAAAAATATATTAACCTCCTACCCCTATCTGCTAGCCAGCCATCCTGGTAGTCATTTGAACTTGCTGGGGACACATAGCCAAAGCAGCTTCTACTTGGTCCCGGCCATTTTTTCCCCACCCTGTTCTTGTTCTGTAGGATTCTGCTCAGGGTCAGGCAGCCAGGAACTGCAGTCGACATGATTCTGAACACATAAGCAACAGGGGATGAGGGTACACCCACCAAACGTGCTTCTTTGGCTTCCCTTCTATCGGCTGGTGGGGGTTTGGGGGAGCGTGGCTTATAGCTCTGTGGTTATTTTTTAATTCACGGACCACCCTGTGCAGCTGGCTTCAACCCTCACCAGCTGTGAGGTTGCATCTCGAAGTGTAGGCAGTCATCTACTTTAACTGACAGCTCCGCAATCCCAGTCAGTGGGACCACATCTGTGATTTGAAGAGCTGCCACTGGTGCTCTGTGCTGTCCTACTCCTCCTCGTGGCCCAAGAAAGGATGCATTAAAAACACTTATATTTAGATAGCTCAATAGAATAGATTTTCATACCATATATTGGGAGTAAGTAGTACAAAGTTTAGACAATCTCCCCTCTCCCTACTTCATTTTCTAAACCTTACCAGTTATCCTGTGTTACTAGTTGGGCAACCTGAAATGAGGCCAAATTCCACTTCAGGTTACCTGAAAGTGAACTTTTTGCTTTCCAATTTGATCCATTCACTATCTATTGACTACTATTCTTCCCTCCCTCACTCCTTCTTTTTTTCTTTCCCCATCCTCATAGTTACATATTTTTGCTCACATTCCTATGATTATCAATGGAGAAATGAAAATGTGTATTTTCTCCAAGTTACAACCCAATCTTTATGATAAGGCTGGGGTTTCTGCCACCTCTTTTTTTGGGGGGGAGAACAGAGTTTCGCTCTTGTCACTGAAGCTGGAGTGCAATGACGCAATCTCAGTTCACTGCAACCTCTGCCTCCCAGGTTCAAGCGATTCTCCTGCCTCAGTCTCCCAAGTAGCTGGGATTACAGTTGTGCACCACCATGCCTGGCTAATTTTTGCATTTTTAGTAGAAATGAGGTTTCACCATGTTGGCCAGGCTGGTCTCAAACTCCTGACCTCAGGTCATCCACCTGCCTCAGCCTCCCAAAGTGCTGGGATTACAAGCATGAGCCACCACACCCAGCCTCTGCTGCCTCTTTTACAGTCTGGTCTGGAGTGACCGGCAAGACCTCATGACCTCAACTTGTGGCCAGCCCAGGTTGGAAGCATCTGATGATTCCCAAGGAGGTCACAAGCCTCAATCCCACATTGCTGGGTTGTAGTTGAGAACAACCTTGCCAAAACCCACCCCTCATGCCGAGGGGCTGGTGTCAAGTGATGCTGAACCAGAGGTTCGGGATGCTAATTTGATGTATTATCTGTGTACAGCCTGGGGAGGAGAAAAGGCTCATAAAAGTGTTCTAGGCTGGTCATTCTGAATGTGAGCATTTATTTATCTGCAAAGCTGCCGAATATCCCTGCAGGAAGTCGCAGGCGCAGCAACCCCTGACTGCACAGACAAAAGTCTCCCCTTTACACAGGGCTGCTTTTATTGTTTCCAACAGCTTTGTGCTTTCCCTGGGGGAAGAGGAGAGTCACATAGCGAGTGTTCTTCCTCTTTTCTCACGCTGCAGAGGAAGTGATGTTGTGGAAACAGTGACATTAACTTGGCCTTCGAACCACACGGGAGCCAGAGTTGGGAAAAGCTCAGTGCAGGCAGGTACTCCTATGGCTCATTTAGGCCCTGAGAAACTCCAGTCTGGGCCTGGGTGTGGGGATGATGGGTGCACACAATGCAAGAGAAACCATACTTAGGAATTATTCCCCGGGTCCAAGGGGCCCCTGAGGTATGGATGTTCTTGACCCCTTGAACCTGCTTCCAATTAGGAGTAAAGCCCCCAAGGGATGTGTGGAGCATGTTTCATTCTACATTGATTAGACATTTATTGATTGACCACTTTGTGCCAGGCACTGTACTAGGCATGCAATGGTAAGCAAGAGACATGGCCCCTGCCCTCATGGAGCTTACATTCTACTTTTCTTGGCACACAAGAAAACAGGGTAGAGGATACAGCCCCTATCATCAAATCCTGCACTGTCTATCTTCTTAATACCTATCCTGTCCTCTTCCTCATCCAACTACCCTTCAGATCCTTTTGGACTCTTCAATAAACAGTTGAGCCCCACCCCTTCCCAAACTCATCTCCTCTATCTGATCATTCCACTCACTGCTTTAAGTCCTAGCAGCAAGGAGAGGGAAAGGGGCGCTCCCAGCTGCATCAGCCTCTTTTATAAAGATTTCCCAGAAGTCCCACCCAATGGTTTCCACTGACATCTCATTGGTCACCTCTTTGTTTCTCTTTTCTTTATTCTCTTTGAGACAAGGTCTTGCTCTGTCACCCAGGCTGGAGTGCAGTGGTGCAATCACAGCACACTGCAGCTTTGACCTCCTGGGCTCAAGTGATCATCCCACCTCAGCCTCTCAAGTAGCTGGGACCACCATGCCTAGCTAATTTTTTATTTTTTATAGAGACGGGGGTCTCACTACGTTGTTCTAGCTGGCCTCAAACTCCTGGGCTCCAGCGATCCTCCTCCTCAGCCTCCCAAAGTGCTGGGATTTACAGGCATATGCCACTGTGCCCGGCCTGGCCACCTCTTGCTGCAAGAAAGAGGCTGCATGTCTCAGTAAGTTCAGGCTGTTACAACAAATTGCCAGTTTGGGAGGTTTAAACAAACAAACAAAAAAGCATTTACTTCTCACAGTTCTGCAAGTCCAAGATTACGATCAAGGTGCTGAGAATTGCTTGAACCCAGGAGGCAGAGGTTGCAGTGAGCCGAGATCTCGCCACTGCATTCCAGCCTGGGTGATGGAGTGAGACTCTGTCTCAAAAAAAAACAACAACAACAACAACAAAAAACCCAAGGTGCTGACAGATCTGGTGTCTGTTGACGGCCTGCTGGGGCGGTCTTCTTCTCATTGCATCCTCTCATGGTAGACAGCAGGGAGAGGAAGCAAACGCTCTCCTGTCTTTTTTATAAGGACACTAACACCATTCATGATCTAATTATCTCCCAGAGGCCCCATGTCCTAATACCATCACATTGGGGTTAGGATTTCAACATACGAATTTGGGAGGGACACGAACATTCAGTTCATGGCACTGAGAAATGTCATCTTTTAGCTTGGGTACGTTGTTATCTCAAATTACGAAGGAAGAGTGGGGAATGAATACTGGTGTAGGCAACTGGCCACCTCTGCTCCTAGTCTCACAGAGAGTATGAGAACATTAAGCATGTGGGTGGAGAAGATTCAGCAGAGACCTTTTGGGGTCTAGTCCTGGTTCACACCCCTGTCGCTGGGGGTTGGGATGCCAACAGCTTCTATGTAGCTGTAACTACCACCAGATGAGCTAATTCCGTTTTTTCTCCTGGAAGCGGTGAATTGGGAGAGAGAAGGCTGGTTAGCCAGGACAGGGCTGGCTCCATGGGCAAGGGACCCGTGCAGTCACATGGGTTCCATGCTTGGGGTTATTGCTCTGTAGCTACCATCTTGAAATTCTGGGAAAAAAGCCTGGGCGCGGTAGCTCACGCCTGTAATTTCAGCACTTTGAGAAGCTGAGGCTGGTGGATCACCTGAGGTCAGGAGTTCGAGACCAGCCTGGCCACCATGGCGAAACTCCGTCTCTACTAAAAATACAAAAATTAGCTGGGCATGGTGGCATGCGCCTGTAATCCCAGCTACTTGGGAGGCTGAGGCAGGAGAATCACTTGAACCCAGGAGATGGAGGTTTCAATGAGCCGAGATCGCACCACTGCACTCCAGCCTAGGCAACAAGAGTGAGACTCCATCTCAAAAAAAAAAAAAAAAAGAAAAGAAAAGAAAAGAAATTCTGGGTAAAATGATGTCTATGTTTTGTAAGTAAAGTCTGATGAGACAACGAGGCATACACCAGAATCTTGGTGCTTCTGCTCATGCAGGGACCTGCCTCCTGCTGCTTCCTGGCTCACCTCCCTGAGATGGGTCCTCAGATGCCCACTCCCCAGTTCCTGGAAGGCCCTGTGCCCTGCCCAGACTCCCACACACCACCCTAGCCTTGGGACTGCTACTGCCCTCTGTCCCGGGCAGGGTCCTCGGTGCTAAAATTGGGAAGATCAGGGTCATGGTCAGATATGTTTCATGGCATCTTGGGGTGGGACAAGGTGGTAGCCTTCCCTCCCCAGGCTGGCAAGGCCACACACATTTGGCAGGGGCCTCTCCCCAACCTCTGCGCCAGGTGCACAGTGTCCCAGCACGAAGGCTGTGATTTCTTGGAAGCTGCCTGACTGCTATAGATTGGGGCAGTGGGCCTGGAAGAAGGGGAGATTGATTTCTTTGCCTGGGGCCCTGCTTATTTTTATTTTTATTTATTTATTTTTGAGACAAGGTCTTGCTCTGTCTCCCAGGCTGGAGTGCAGTGGTGCTATCATAGCTCACTGCAACCTTGAACTCCTGGGCTCA